AAAAAAAAAAAAGAATCCACCATGACTGATTCCTTCACCACACAACAGAGTGCAGGAATGCCACATTTTTGACACTTCAAGAAGGGAGAGCTCCAAATCTGTCCAAGTACCTCCCTCAGCCTGCAGGTACCAGATTCGTAAACTGTGTGTTCATAGTTTAAGGGAGAACAGACCCAGGAAATTAATGCTACATCCTCAGGGTGAATGATCCTACATAGAAAATACAACTGATTATGACATTTGCACAATCTTACATGACTCTTAAGCAAACACTCTCAATACAAAAATCCATTGCTTGCATATGTGCATACATGTGAAGTGTGAAGAGACACAATCTCCAGACACTATCACATAAAGAACAATCATAATTTCTTGAATGCTGTCATTATCATCAAGCTTGCCTAACATGGTCTTATATGCCAGCATGATGCACACTCTGAGATATCCACCACCAGAGCTGCCTCTATGGCAAACTGACATGGCAAGAGGACTTCGCTCTGCTGTTAAGAATCAGCCCTGCTCTGACGCTGCAGCCCTGGAATGCAGCTCAGATCTGGCTGTCCTGGTGTTCCCACTCAGTGGCCATTATTGAATACCAATACAAGAAGTTTAGGCTGAGCTTGGTTTTCTTTCTTGAAATTTTTAGGTGAAGTTTATGGAGAATAACATCTTGAATATACACTTGCACATAAGTAGGATAAACAGGGGACATATGTGACATCCTGAGGAGGATGACATTGTGTTTGCAGATGTTGTGTGTGAAGTGCAGTAGATGGAGTGTGTGGATCTCTGCTGCAGCCTACTGGGGTCTCAAGACTCCTTTGCAGATGCTTACTGTCTGGTGTCCACTTCTAGAGCTGTAGTGTGTGCTTTTTCTGCTGGACTGTGGGGAACAGAAGAGTGGATCTTACTAATTAGTAACCCATGGAAGTAGCACATAGTATACAAAGCCCAGGAAGTACCAATTGATCATCCCAGAGAAAAGGCCAAGAGCACACTATACCTACAAATTATCATCTCAGAACTGAGGACATGGTTGTACTTTACCAGGTCGGAGAAACAGTGAGGGGACAACAATGCAGGCCAAACAGAAACCTCATTCAGGGGCACTGCAACCAGCAGGGGGCACTGAGGTTCCACAGAGCACTAGCAAATGTCCCAGGAACAGGTGCAGAGAAGGAAGCTGTGGAGAGAGGGTTTCCTTTCAGATGTTTGTGATTTCCTCTCTATCTTGATAACTTTTGAGCTAAGGAGGCCCTGCACTCAGAATCTGTAGAAGGTTTATGCTGTAGCCTCATGGGGACTTTGATGGGGAGGAGGCTAGAGGTGTCCTTGGTGCCTGCAGGTCCCCTGTACAGGCTCACCGAGAGGAATGCACATACCTCCTGCAGTGAATTATAAGCTTGTTTCTTTCAGCTCAGGTCTCCTTGCAGCACTGAAGGTTCAATGAGTTCCTTGCTCTAGGACATAGTTCAGAAAGTCAGTGTCTCCCGAAATTAGTCTTAGAAGACCATTTAATTTTTGAGATTAATAATAATGATTTATTGTGCACATATGAAAACTTTTGTTTCTTAATTTAGTTTAATATGAAAAGCAGATTTAAGAAAAAACATTATTGTATATTTTTCCTTTTTGTTTCTTTTTTTAATAGGACTGTTTCAATAATTAATACATTGTACATTGTTATTTTCTTACTGGTTATCCATAGTACAAGATGCAGAGAAGATATCCTGTCCAATGCTATTGGTACAAGTCTGTCTTCTCATTGAATTAATCAAAAGTAGCTGTATATCTATCCCAACTATTCTGTGTATACAAATATTAAATGGTCCTTCCTTTGTATCCCCCTTTTTTTTTGTTTAGTCCTGTCAGAGATGGATATTCCACTGACATCTAAATACTATAGGTGTGAGAATTCAGCAAAACAATCCAACACACTCCACTAGTTCACAATAGTAGTGGGTTATCTGCAGAAGTGGTTGGCTTAAGCGTTTCACAGCTCAGCATATTAATATGGCTTTACTTTATATACTCCATTTTAATACTTTTCTGCTGGATAGTTAAGACCAAGATAAAGCCAAAACTATATAACAAGGGATATAACTTTTGTATCTGATAAGGTCAGTCAAGTACCCTTAGGATTTATCCTGAAACCCTTCACCCCAGTTTGCAAATCCTTTGTCAGTGTCAGCCATGTGGATGAGTCATGGCCACTGCTTGACCAATTTGCATAGAAGCCCATTTAATACATTTTCTGAGGTGGGATAAGTGTACAAAATTTTGCATGATCCAGACAGTGACCCTTCCTGGGTTGGAGAGAAGTTAGGTACTCAGGACCCACGGGGCACTGCTGCAGTTTACAAGCAGTTGCGGAAGCTTGAGCAGGTTCATCTGATGCTTGAGTGCTCCCCATTCAAAACCTCATGCAACTTTATAAGTTTAAAATGCATAAATACTTTCATAAATATTTCAATGGATGAGTTCATTTAAATGAATCACTTAAAAAGAATTCTGAATGTGGGGATCTAGTGGTTTGCACATATCAGTAGTGAATGGATGGAACACAAGATGTATTCCTTTAATGTGAAATTGTGCAGCATGTTGGCAGACATACAGAGTATGATATTCACTATCTGCATTTGGTGTTGACATCTGAAATGTGTGTATTTCAGTGTTGTGGAGGGTCAGATCACGTGACAGTTACATGGATTGTGTATACCCATCAAGGAGGAAGATATATATCTCACAAACTTTTGGATACTCCAAAATTCTTCTTTGTAAAAGAGACCCCAGTGAAATCAACCAAAACTTTTATGCAAGTTTTAGGAAAGTAAATCGAGGTTCCATTCAAGTCCTTTCCTTTTTGTGGTGAGAAATACAGTCCTTCGCTGTACATCACAGGGCTGGTCTGAGGAGCAAGGGCCTTTATGTGGAACAGATGAGACATCATCAATCCAGAAAGGTTCTGGGGAAACCATCCTAGGAGGCTAGACTAATATCAGCAGGTTCCTTGGCACATTCTGAGTATGGGTATAGAATGGGCAGTGTTCTTCCCTAAGAGTCAACTCTTGGTTGTTTATACCTGATACAAGTATGAAGAGTGCATTCCATCTGCTTAGAATCAATGACACTGATTACCACTAAGAAGCTTGTGGGTGGATTATGGACAATTCAAAGTTGGGTTTGAAAAGCCACCTTCCTAAGGTGGCTTTATTCTCAGTGGGAGAGATCTGCATGATTTAGTAGAGAGATACATTTTCTAATGCAGGATAAGTTCATGAATCCCAGCATCTCACTGATGAATGTCTCATATATAATTGCTCCCTGCTTGCATATCTAGAGGTAAGAAGTGTCCTGCCTCATACATATGCAAATAATCTGAGACTGCTGAAGTAAATATGAAAGCTCTGGGCCAGAGCATTCTACAGCCATCTCTGCTTTCTATTGAATCCCCCAGAGCACAGCTTCTCAACATGGATTGGTCCTGGAGGATCTTCTTCTTGGTGGCATCTCTGAAAAGTAACGTGATCCACAGTCTTATTCCTGACGAAGGGACGAGAGTTTTCAGGTGGCTTTGCCTCCAACTTCTGTCTTTTCTCCTCAGGTGCCCAAGGCGAGGTGCAGCTGGTGCAGTCTGGGGCTGAGCTGAAGAAGCCTGGAGCCTCAGTGAAGGTCTCCTGCAAGGCTTCTGGATACACCTTCACCAGCTACTTTATGTACTGGGTGCGACAGAGCCCTGGACAAGGCCTAGAGTCGATTGGATGGGTGAACACTGCTACAGGTGGTACCGCGTATGCTCAGAAGTTCCAGGGCAGAGCCACTATCACCGCTGACACGTCCTCCAGCACGGCCTACATGGAACTGAGCAGTTTGAAGTCTGAGGACTTGGCTGTGTATTACTGTGTGAGAGACACAGTGTGGTGACCCACATCCTGCATGTGTCAGAAACCCAGAGGGAAGAGCAGCTGCTTAGATGATAAGATTACAGAGATGATGAGAATGAAGACATGCTTAAAAATTGATGAAGTAATTGAGGAAAGGAAAGATAAAAATTAGGTATCTACTCTAGTTGAGTGGGACATTTGTGCATTATCCACTACAGAAGACCTTTGCTATGGTTGGTGTCTGATCACCCCAAAGCCTGGTGCAATTATGGTCATGGGATTTTTCAGGAATGTAGCTGAATGTACAGTTTGTGATTCACTTATTTTCTAGTGCTGGGGTTATGGGACTGAGTTTTTTTTCCAGCTCTATGTTGATTAGCTGGTGTATAGTAAAATGGAATAAGAGGGTGACTAGTTCTTGTCTTGTTGTCATTTCTTCTGACACAATGTCTTCTTCTTGGCTATCTCCTATGTGACCTTGAAGATGCCTAATATGAACTGAGGAGTCTACAAACAATGATCCAAGTAAACCTTTGCTCCTTTAACTTTGGTTGTCAGATATTTTGTACTAATGCTTGAATTTGAAAAAAACACAATCACGGTGAAGGAAGTCTCTCAAAATAAGCCTAAAGGCAGTACTTCCTGGAACATACTTGTGAGGACACAATATTGGTGTCTCAGTCCACAAACTTCATTTTTTAAAAAAATTATTTATTTATTCATTTATTTTGTGTGTGTGGCCAGCTCAGCCCACCAGGGGGCGGGGCTGGCTGACATGTGGTGCTGGAGGATTGAACCGTGGTCCCTGTGCTTTGCTTAGCTTAGCTTGTTCTAAGTAGGTGCTGTAGACCACTGAGCCATCTCACCAGCCCCACAAACTTCATTTGATCCATAGTTCTGCAAAAGATTATCATACTTGTTCATGTGGGGCAGATCACCATTGTTCTGTTTCACCCAATGTGGAGATCATCAATGGAAAGAAAATTTTGTAGAATGCTTCTGTTTGTATACTGCATTTATTGGGAACACAGGCATTCATCATTCATGATGTTTTTGAATTTCAATATAATTGAAGAAGTTTCTAAGTGCAAAGTTTCACAGTCAGACAACTTTGTTCCCTTGTTGTCTTTACTTTGTACAATATGGCCAGCCTGTTGCTGCAATGTTTATTTACCTGAATTTACTAATAGGGCATCTTTATGCTCATTGTAAAGTCAAATAGAAAGTGGAGATATTTACCAGGAACCTCTTTGACCATTTACAAGTACAACTTGCCCTTCTGTCAGTACCAAGTCCTGCAGACCCTCTTTTCCTCTGTGGTTGAACTCTCAGTGATATAACACTAAATCCCATAGTCATAGTGCTAACATGGGTTGATTACTTGTGCTGTACATTCTGTGCATTCAGATAACTGTTTAATGACTTGTTTCCACCACAGACTTTATGTGCCTCCACATTTTTCAGGTGATCACCAGGATCAGCTCTGTGGTGCCTTGGGGTAGTAGATGGCTATTTAGGCAAGCAAGGCATGGCAGCCCTGACAGAAGTGTGTGAAAGCAGAGCACCTGGGAAGAGCCCAGTGAGCCATGCTGGTTGTTGAGCTTTTTCCTGAAAATGTCTTGGGGCCTCCACAACGTGGTTGGCTAATGCTGATGGTTCAAATTCTTCCATTTTAGAACCCTTCTGAAGATGTCCCAGCTGTGCCTAGAAGCTGTCTTCATCCCACAGAAGCCCTGAAGGAGATGAAGCCAATGGAATCATCCTCAGAGAGTGCATGAGACCATCATGCTCAGATCAGAAATGTGAACTCCTCAACTCTCTTGTCCACTGTGCTCTTCACATTCATAAGAAATTCTGTATCTTTTCCAAATATCTCTAATCCAAACAACCACTTCAGAGATAGTAATATGCAAAACAAAAATCATGGTTGAACACCTCTCTTCTTGTTCTTCTAAATGCGTACCATTTCTAATGTCTTATCAATTTCTGTTATACTCTCTTTAGCATAAATTAAAAAATAAAAGTTATAAGGCACAAGAATAAAAGAGGGATTACTAAAAGCATTCACAGTGTAAGGACTATTGTCCATTCCCATTGACTAGGAATAAGCATCTTATTGTCCATACATACTCTTGATTTTGTTTGGTCCATGTTTGTTTCTTAGCATTGCTAAAGGATGTGGACCACATATTTGTAGAAATATATGTATTCCTACTAAGAATATGGAAAATTTTTCCAAAAGTGTAAATAAGCATTGAAAGTTTTATTTTTGTTTCATTTTGAGAAATGTTCCTTTGTTCCTATCTAAATTGTTCCTAAACAGTTCCAGTTTAAAGGAGAGTGTGTTTCGGCCCTGGGTCATTTGGATATTCATTTCACAGCTTCTTAGAAATCCACACTGTGGTCTTGTGGCTGAGCTTAGTAATCATTTATTTTATTCTTGAACAGTGACTTAACACAGGAGCTTATGCATTTTCTCATCACAAAAATGAAAATTATGTGAAATGACATATATAACTTACTAAATCTAGCCATTTTGCTTAAAAATAAATATAGTTTTTAAAACTCAAATTTCTCCTCTGATGGCTGTAATATTATTGCATTTTATTTTGTTTGGGGGGGCTGAACTGGGATTGAACTCAGGCCCTTGTGATTGTCAGGGAAGCACTTATTCTGCTGAGCCATCTCCCTGGCCATTACTGCATTTTGATAAATATACTTAAGAGTTAGCATCTGGGGATGTAGCTCAATGGCTCAGTGCCTGCTGGAAAATGCAATACCCTGAGTTTGATTCCACATGGAGAAATATGGATGTTATATTGACAATGTTGCCCACCCACAGTCTTACCATCAATTCAAAATTAAAATATAATAATAAAAATCTCAAGATAATTAGAAGATACACACCACCAAAATCTCCTTAGCATTGATAATCTCCAGAGGCTCAAAGATCAGTGCCATGTCAGACATCTGATAAGAAATATTTTTCAAGGACAAATATTACGTGATTCTACTTATATGTTCTCCGTAGATTGGTCAAATTCCTAGAGGTAGCAAATAGTAGTTACTGGAAATGGGGAATAGGAAGGAGGATGGGAAGTAAGTATTTGATGCCTCTAGAGTTTATTTGGGTCTGGAGTTTCAGTTTTGGAAGACAAATGGGTTCTGGAGATGGATGGTGGTAACAGTTGCACAACATTGTGATTGTACTTAATGCCACAGAAATGTACACTTAGAAAGGCTAAAATTGTAAATTTTTTGTTACATGTACTTTAGAACAATTTTAAAACCATGAATAGAGATGCAGATTCAGGGCACTAGATCAAGGATATTCAGATTCAGTAGGTCTTCAGTGAGACTCAGTTGTCTTTGTTCTAATGAAGAGCTCAGGTGATTGTAATGCAGGTTGTCCTTGACAATACTCTAGTACTTTCCTGGGGCACAGAGAAAACTGCATCCTACCCTTGTCATCCCTGGTGGTGACCAGGCTTCTAGACCCATGGTGCCTTGCTTCACTGAGGAATGCAGTCATGAGGTGGCTCTGGAATATTTTCAGCTCCTTTTCATCTCTTGAAATAATTAGATACACCAACCATCAAGACTAATTTCAAGTGCATTATGGCCATTTTTGAAGAATTCTAAAACATCAGAAGAAGAGAATTTAAATGTATACAGTATTTCTTCTCTGGATGGACTTAAGTAAAGTATGATATACACATTGGCATACCACTGTGCCACAAAGAAAGATAAGCCAGAAACATTCTTAAATAAATGGATGTACTTCGAAAGCAAAATGTTAAGTGAAATAAACCAGGCCAATGAGCTTCAATATTGAGTGCTTTCTTTCACTTTAGGAACTCTGTCTCTGTGTCTCTCTCTGTCTCTGTCTCTGTCTCTCTGTCTCTGGCTCTCTCTCTCTCTCTCTCTCTCTCTCTCTCTCTCTCTCTCTCTCTGTCTCTCTCCTACTTTTTCTCAAAATTATAAGATACAGAAAAAAGAACAATTTTTTTCTAAGAGTAGGGAAACAAGAGTTGAGTGAGGGAGGGAGAAGAGAAAGGCAAAGGATAAATGTGTTAAAAAAAACAAATTAGAAAATAAAAATTTTGCAAATGGAAAGGGAACCAATATTTGAAAGGATCAGGTAGGGTAGGAAGTGGTAGGGAAGAAAACATTTTAAATTTATTGGTGTATTTTAGGTATACTTAATGATTTTATTCATTTTAGTGAATTTGTGCCTATACACATTTCTTGATTTGTTTTGTTCTCTTTCCTCTAGCCTCCTCTCAACCTCTCTTCCTCTCCTTATTTAAGATGCTTACCTTCCATTTTTCTCTTTTTTTCTCATGCAAGAAAAGAATTAAGATATGTTATGTATGTATAGCAACTCCCCTCAATGATGTAATCATCATGTAATTCAAACTTGTGCTAATAAAAAAAATTATTTGGAGGACAAGATGCAGAAATGATATCTTGCCTAAACAATTTTGGTAGAAACTTTCTTCTTATTGAACTAGGAGCAACTTAGGAGAAAGTAGCTGTATATCTGTCCTGGCTAATATATATATATATATATATATATATATATATATATATATGTAACTGTCCTACTAACCTTTTTTAGTTATTTTTATTTTATTTTATATTCAAAAGTATTTTTATTGAGAAACAAATAGCAATGAGACAGTTTCACAAATGATTACTAGCACATTTCCAATAATTAATACATTGCATATTGTTGTCTTAGTGGTTATTCATTGTATAAGATGCAGACCTAGTATCCTCTCTCAAACACTATTATGGTAAATCTTTCTATTCATTGAATTAAGAGAATGTAGCTGTATATCTATCCTTACTATTTTGAGTATACATATACAAAATGGTAGTTCATTTGTATCCCCCTATTTTGGTAAGTTTTCTCAGAGAAGGATATTCCATTGTCATTTAAATACTGTAGGTGAATGAATTCAGCAAAATATTCCAATATAGCCCCAAAGTCCATAATAGTAGTTTGTTTTCCGTAAGACTGTCAATAATCGAATT